CTGCGACTGCCAAACGGGTAGTTCCATGTTTGCGGCGCCTTGGCGGTTTCGACTGAGGGTTCTTGTTGGGAAAGAATAGTGCCATTTAGTTCTGCAGCTAGTGATGCAGGATGTGGTCAACGATGGTCTTATTTGCGCATATAGACTGGCCGTGTGCGCTTAGGCTGACTCAGCGTCCACGAGTATATGCATACTATACATAGTATGGCGGCACTCATACCTCGTCATTATAAGCTCGTCGCCGATCTGTAAAGATGACTGTTAAGGCCGGCAAAGCTCGAGAACCATCTACTGCATTTTTAGCCCTTACTACCTCCCAAACCTCATCTCATCCATCAACTACTACACTCAGGCTGCTTTTTTGCATGGCCATCCACGTTGCCTAAATTATGCCCTCCTTTATAGAATTGGCCATATCATGGGTATTTGTTGTTTTGTATATAGTTGTTCTGTGTGTGGCATCAATAGGGGCATACAGACTAGTGGCGGAGTTCAGGACTCCGAAACCTTCGGCTATGCCTCTCTCCGGAGTGCCGGGTGTCTCTATACTTAGACCGGTTAAGGGCACCGAGAGCGCCTTTGTTTCGTGCATGAAATCCACATTCGAGCAGGATTATCCTAATTTTGAGATAATTTTTTGTATAAAAGATGCTAATGATCCGGCGGTCCCGGTCTTAGAAGAGCTATGCAGTCAATACAAAAATGTGCCCACACGGATTCTCACGGGCCAAGCCGCTTCGTATGGACAAAAGGGTTACGGTCCTAACCCTAAAATAAACAACCTCGCACAGGGATTTGACCAGGCGCAACACGACATACTGTGGGTCATTGATTCGAACGCCTGGGTCGATCCGGGAACGTTAGGACGCGCAGTGAACAAGTTCCGCGGGTCTGTCGGTCTCGTGCACCACCTGCCTGTCGCCGTCAGTTTCTCTGGCTGGATTGGATCGCGACTCGATGAAATGTACCTCAGCACTGGCCATGCCAAATTCTACACAGGTATCAACGCCGTTGGCGTTGCCCCCTGCGTCATGGGCAAGTCAAACCTCTTCAGAAAATCGTCGCTGCTCGCTGCTTCCCCAGACGGGTTCAGGTATTTCAGCCACTTTATTTCTGAAGACCAAATGCTCTCAGAAACGCTATGGGAACACGGCGAGCGCACCTGTTTGGTCTCTGATTTGGTGATACAGCCTACTAAGGATGAGACATTCATAGAGTACTGGTTCCGCCGACTGCGCTGGATACGTATACGCAAGTACGTCGTCACTGGCGCAACGCTTGTGGAACCATTTACGGAAAGCATAGTGAGCGGCATATATGGCGGCTGGGCTATTAGCGCGCTTACTGGAATCTCGGCATGGTCTTATTTTTGGCTCCACATGAGTCTGTGGTGCCTGCTGGACTACGCAGTGTACCACTCGATCCGCGCTCGCGCCATTCACGAGATCAAGACCTACTACGACTCACCGGCTACGATTAACACCATGAAGTTTGCGAGATGGCTCTACATATGGCTCGCTAGAGAGGTTCTTGCACTTCCTATATGGATCGCCGCGATGTGCGGCTCGTCCATCGTATGGCGTGGCCAGCGTTTCCGCATCAACGCCGACAACTCGGCAGAACCTGTGTCCAAACTTGAACCTCTGTCGTTTTGACTGCTCGAAATATATATGAATCACATAACGATACACGACACTTCATGACACGTAAATTTATACTATTAGCTGAACAGTAACAAAAACGTTGCATTGAGACGCCGCTATAACGTCGCGCGGCTCATAATGTGGCTGTTAGAGTTTATCACGAGCTTCTCTCTCCGCCCTTCATTGGACTGGAAACCCTTAGCTGCCCACCCAGGTTTTTATCGCTATCAGGCCAAAAAGCCGCCTTCAACATTCGGCTTTTACCCTATAGATTGCTGAAAAATTGCTGATCGTCATGAAATTCGGCCAAACGCTTCAAGAGGAGCAGGTCCCCGAGTGGCGGTATCAGTATCTTGACTATAGAAGCGGCAAAAAGTTGCTGAAGAGTATACAGGCCAAGCACACGAACAGCCCTAGATCATTCCGAAAAAGAGCCGCTTCTGTACTGTTTACCCCCTCGTTACGTACTAAACGCGAGTCTCCCGCCAGCTATAATGATATAAGTCGCCTAAACCGTATAGAATCTGCTGAAAGCCAGTCTTCCTTCTATCGTCTGCCTGAGCCTCACGTCGATGTGGACCGCTCTTTGCACCAGCTTTCAAGAGCCTCGCCTGCCGAACACGGCGCTACTCCACATGACCTGCTGGATACCCGAGACATTGCTACCACGCCAACTTCGCCTATACAGATCCCTACACCACGCGGCGTAGGCCAGGAAACATACGGTATCTACGGCTCGCTCATCGCGACTCCTCCCGACCACTTACCTGCGTCAGCAGAAGGAATCAACACGCCCGCGAACCTCCCTAAAACGGCAGAAGAGGTTGAAACAGAGACAGTGCAATTGCGCGAAGCCCTAAAAAAGACTAGAAATGGGGCTTCGACTGTTTCTTTTCACTCCAAACCGTCACCGCTGCTTCAGCATGCTGCTGCCACCAGCTGGACTAGTCATCGTGCGTCCGTGCCAAGATCGTCTCCAGCCGTCGACGCAGACACCATAGACATACCATTTGACTCGCCAGAGAACCAGTTCAAGGAATGGATTGACGACGAAATTGCCAAAATGAGTACTTTTGTGGCCCAGAAACAGACTGACGCTACCCTCCGTTTAAACCTCCTTCGTCTTCAGCTCCACAAATTAAGAGACGAAAAGCTGAAGAAAAAATCCCTACAAACGCAGCAGCATTCTGGTGACGATTTTGCACCTAATACTGTTTCATCTCCCTTCAGAAAGCTCTTGTCGCGAATGTTTGACCCTTACATCATACCCTCGTTACCTTCTTTCCACTATTTAAACCCGATTACCGCAAAAAGAAAGGTCAGATCTGCGCAAGACGCCCGCGACTATGACAGATCTACCTACACGCCGCCGTATGCCTATGCTAAAAGACAACTACAGCAGGCTATGCTGGAGTACTACAGGGGACTCGAGTTGATACACTCATATATCACGCTGAACAAAGAAGGAGTCCGGAAGATCGTCAAGAAGTTTGACAAGACGTCTGGCCTGAAATTCTCGCCTGTTTATGCCAAGAAAATTGAGAAAACGCATTTAGGGAATACTGACCGTATCGAGGAATTGATGCACGACACTGAAGATCTGTATGCCCGATATTTCCAAGGTGGAGACCGCAAGAAGGCTTTAGTGAAGCTTCGTGCGCCCCAGGTGCAGCAGGCGCATAGCGGTTCTGTGTGGATAACTGGATTTTCTATTGGCGCTAGTCTGGTTCTAATTATTGATACTGTGGTTGTTGGTTTACAGAAGACTCTAGGAGGAAATATCGATATTGGCGCAAAGCTGCTTCAAACCTGGGCTGGGTTCATGCTTGTGGTTTTATTCAGCTTGCTGTTTGCAGTTAATTGCGCAATTTGGAGTCATTATAAGATCAACTACCCTTTCATTTTCGAGTTCAATCCTCGCACTGTTTTGGATTACCGCGAATATATGGTCTTGCCGGCGTCGACATTTCTCTGGCTCAGTATATGGGCATGGCTGTGCTTTCGAGATTTCTGGCCAGACAAGCTGCCGACCCAATATTATTCATTGATATTTCTGGTCTCTACTCTAGTAGTCTGGCTTATGCCGTTTCAGATCTTTTACCCTAGCACGCGCAAATGGCTGGCTGTTTCACTGTGGAGACTGCTGCTTTCAGGTTTCTTCCCTGTGGAGTTCAGAGACTTTTTTATTGGTGACATAGTAATGTCCTTTACTTACTCTCTAAGTAATGCGGGCATGTATTTCTGTCTTTTCAGTAAAAACTGGGCTGCTGGCACTACATGCGATTCGGCCCATTCACGACTGATGGGTTTCCTTGCAGCTCTGCCTCCAATCTGGAGATTCAATCAATGCCTGCGGCGCTATGCAGACACAGGCCAGTGGTTCCCTCACTTGGCCAATGCCGGCAAGTATGCGTCCACCATTATCTACTATGCCTTGCTCAGCGCATGGCGTATTAATCAGAACAAGACCACAGAGGGGCTTTTCATATCAATTGCTGTGATATACACTGCACTGAACACGTTTTGGGATATATTTATGGATTGGTCGCTGTTCCAGGTGAACTCGAAATACAGGTTCCTCAGGAATGAGCTGGCATACAAGAACCATTACGTTTACTATATCGCCATGATCCTTGATCCCATATTTCGACTGCTATGGATACTTTATGCTGTTTTCCCGGCAAACATACAGCAGTCTCAGACAGTCTCATTCTTTGTTGCGTTCACTGAGATTATTAGAAGGTTCCTGTGGTTAGCTTTCCGCGTCGAAAATGAACATTGTGCCAATGTAGGAAGGTCTCAAGCATACAAGGACGTGGATTTGCCTTACGCTATTGATATAGGGCCAACAGGAGATGGTGCCGATAGGTATCCGCTCATCAATATGCAGAACAATGAAGCAGAACGGGCTGAAGGTCAGAGTACTGGCGCTGCTACGACTGGAGGGAAGGCTATCACTCAGGAGGGCAACCGACCGAGAAAAAGGTCTATATGGGCACTCAGTGAAAACGGTTGGCACTCGCCTTCATCGACTGCAGTGGCAGTGTCGCAGGCATTACAAAGAGCGCATACTCAAGATTTTGAGCGTCGTAAACAGCCTGATCCAGATCTCGTCGATGATGACGAAGATGACGAGGAGGACGAAGACACGGAAATGGCCGATGTGAACCCTACGGTTCTGTGAATTGACGAAAACTAGCAAGACACTTATTCAATATCCTAAAGGTTAAAGGTTCTACTCAAATGTACTTCTTAAATTTATTCTCATGTGACATAAGATGGAATAAGATAGTAATTGTTTTGAAATAGAAGCCCAGGCTTATGATAACCATGTCCCACTAGTGACTTACTTATTATGCCTCCTTGGCTCAGTGGTAGTAGCGTCGCACTTGTAATGCGAAGGTCAGTGGTTCAAATCCGCTAGGAGGCATTTCATTCCTTTTTTTTTTGTGAGCTTTTTACTAAGATATGCAGCATATTTAATCGAACTTATTTTATTAATTATTCATTTAACTCAATAAATGCGCTTACGTGACGATAATAATGCAAAAATACTGGTCCCTAGATATCGTGAGCGATATCCCAAAGATGGCGTATAAGCTCTTTTAGAAAGCGGCGTTAAATACGTTATACCTTTCTATTTGCCTCCTCTCATTCTGATCTTCTTTCTAGTTCGTTCACATACAAGTTTCGTGTTTTATTCTCTGGATTTTTTTTGCTTTGATCTTATAGACTGATTCAGTTATGAGGGGATTCTTGTCCCTCGCGGCTTTAGCCACTACGGTTGCCGCCGCTCCCACAGATTTGCTCAATATGATCGATTTGAAAGCAGCATGGTCCTCATATACCGATCCGGACACCGTTTCTCTATCTGGCGGGCTGATCGCTATTATAACTTTGGTAGCAACAGCCGGCACGGCATGTATCCTCGTATTAGTAGTAATGTTCTTTACAAGTTCGACCGGCCGGATCCTTCTCGGTAACTTAGCATTGCCGGGCGAGTACGATGACGAGCAGGCCTTTTTGCGCGACGAAGAGGAAGCATTAGAAGAAATGGACGATATATCTCGCTCCAACTATCTCCAGGCACGCAGTTTCCAAGAAGCAAATCCGCCCGATAGTGTGCAGACTGATATCAGCCTCAGCCAACACATGGCTATTCAAGAGAAAGGTGTTTCCGCGTGGCAATTTGAACCCGATTTCGAGAATGGAGCAACTTGCATGGTTGAAGCACACACTGAAGTCATTTTCAGTGACGCCGATTGCTCGGTGCAGACAAACCTTCCGATACCCCGTCAAAACGAAATTTACTACTGGGAGGCTAAGCTCTACGAGAAGCCTTCTACTTCGGTAGTTTCTATCGGTTTGGCTACCAAACCATACCCTCCTTTCAGATTGCCAGGATATCACCGCTACTCTGTGGCGTATGATTCGCTTGGCAACAAGCGGCTCAACCAACCATTCAAGCCTACTAGAAAATATGGCCCTCCACTCGTTGAAGGAGACGTAGTAGGAGTGGGATATAGCCCACGTTCCAACACTGTCTTCTTCACGAAGAACGGGCAGAAACTAGATGAGGCTGCACATAATATGCGGCAGAACTTATTCCCAACTATCGGCGCTAACGGGCCATGCGTCGTTCATGTGAATTTTGGGCATGCTGGGTTCGTATATATCGCTGCCAATGTTAATAAATGGGGACTTGCACCAGCGCACGGCAATCTCGCGCCACCACCACCTTACGGCGTCGAGCATGGCTCGATATTGCTTGAAAGGGGATCTGAAGCATCTTCACAACAATACAGAAGCCTGCCTGGCCCATCTGCACGCCCGCGACTGTCGTCTCCGCGACGGTACCCGCGATCCAACGATTTAAACCGAATCACTTCTTCCGACAGGGAGGAGTTTCGGCGCCCTAACAGCATTCGTCTCAATGTTATTGACCATTTGCAATCAGATCAACTTTCAGAGCAACGTGGTGATTTTGATTACAGGCGGTCGCTGAGCATTAATTCCGGAAGAATTTCTGCCCCTCCGCAGTACGCAGATCATAGTACTGAAGCCAGACTTCACCCTGTTCCCAGCAGCCCGCCTCCGCCATTTGAGGACCACAACAACGGCAATCAAACAAGCTGAGATGACACGACAAATATGCATTATCTAATTATAATGATGGAATTCTGGACAAGAACAAGTGCTATTGCTATTCAGATGATGCCTTCGGCTGTAGACACGACGGGGCCCGCCTCCTCATATTTGGGAGTTCACCATTTTTACACTTCGATATCTTTTTCCAACCGTTACCACCAGATAGGAAATCCAATGGATCCGTCACCAAAAAGGGCTGCATTGACCAAATCAATACCAGAAAATGGTAAAGAGACACCTAGTAGAGTAGTATCTATAGAGATTAACGATGTGGAGCTACGCAGGCACAACACAACAGCCGATCAAATCAGTAAAGTCGAAAACGGCCCGCTAAATTTTCTGACAAAAAAACCTCTATCTGAGCAGTACTTTGATATTCTAAAGACAAGAAGAAACCTACCTGTTCATTCTAAAAAACAAGAGTTTCTTGATCTATACCATAATAATCAAATTACCGTCCTTGTGGGCGAAACAGGTTCAGGTAAGACTACCCAGATCCCGCAATTTATCCTGTACGACGACCTTCCTCAACTATCAGGCATGCAAATTGCCTGCACACAGCCTCGTCGTGTTGCTGCGATGTCTGTGGCTAAGCGTGTTGCTGATGAGTTGGATGTAGAGCTTGGTGGCGAAGTTGGTTACAGTATTCGTTTTGAAGACTGTTCAAGCAACAAGACAGCTCTGCGTTACATGACAGACGGTATGCTTCTCCGTGAAGCAATGCACGATCCTGAACTCTCTAGGTACTCTTGTATTATTCTTGATGAAGCACACGAACGTACTCTTGCCACAGATATATTAATGGGCCTGTTAAAAGACGTCACTAAAAAACGGCCCGATCTCAAGCTCGTGGTCATGTCTGCCACTTTAGACGCCGAAAAGTTTCAAGCTTATTTCGATAATGCACCACTTTTAGCTGTCCCAGGACGGACATTCCCTGTTGAGATATATTATACGGCTGAGTACCAGAAAGATTACCTGGAATCGGCGCTCACCACTGTTCTGCAGATCCATGCTACTGAAGAGCCGGGGGATATCCTGCTTTTCCTGACGGGTGAGGAAGAGATCGAAGATGCGTGCAGAAAGCTTTCGTTGGAAGGCGACGAACTGGTCCGCGAAGCGAACTGTGGTCCACTTGTGGTGTATCCACTGTACGGGTCTCTTCCTCCAGCCCAGCAGCAGAGGATATTTCGGCCTGCGCCAGAGCCTCTCAAACCCGGTGGACCTCCTGGCCGGAAAGTAATTGTTTCCACGAACATTGCCGAAACATCTTTGACAATTGACGGAATTGTTTATGTTGTCGACCCTGGTTTCTCGAAACAGAAAGTGTATAATCCGCGCATTCGCGTTGAGTCGCTGCTTGTTTCGCCAATATCTAAAGCGTCTGCTAAACAGCGAGCAGGTCGTGCGGGTAGAACAAGGCCAGGTAAATGTTTCAGGCTATACACTGAGGAGGCATATAAGACAGAACTGATTGAGCAGAGCTACCCGGAGATTCTACGCTGCAATCTTGCGAGCACAGTGCTTGAACTGAAAAAGCTCGGTATTGACGATCTAGTTCATTTTGATTTCATGGACCCTCCGGCGCCAGAGACTATGATGCGTGCACTGGAAGAGCTGAATTATTTACAATGTTTAAGCGACGAAGGAGACTTGACGGCGCTCGGCCGTACAGCTTCTGAGTTCCCGTTGGATCCCATGCTGGCTGTAATGCTGATAAGATCACCCGAGTACCAGTGTTCGATCGAAATTGCTACTATTGTAGCTCTGCTGTCAGTACCTAATATATTTGTCAGGCCGCCAGGAAAGCGAAAAGAAGCAGATATGGCGAAAAAAGAGTTCAGCCACTCTGACGGAGACCATTTGACTATGTTGAATGCATTCTATGCGTACTTGGATAATCTCGACGACAAGAACTCTTTCTGCAAGCGGAACTTTCTTGCTGCAAGATCACTTGCGAGTGCACAGAATGTTCTCACCCAACTGAAAGGACTTATGGAAAGAAACGATATTGATTTGAATAGTACTCCTTTTGAAGACAGGAACTATTACGTGAATATACGGCGGGCGCTGTGTTCGGGCTTGTTTCTGCAAGTTGCTAAACGTGCGCCCGGAGCGAAAGTGTATACTACAATCAAGGACAACCAAGATGTGCTAATTCACCCGTCTACGACGCTTGGACAGGACAGTGAATGGGTAGTATACAACGAGTTTGTGCTCACTTCGCGAAACTACATTCGCACAGTGACTTCGGTGAAACCCGAATGGCTGATAAAAGTTTCGCCCGCGTACTTTGACCCGATGTCGTTCCCTAAAGGAGACGTACGCACGAGTCTCGAGAGGGTAAAGGCGCGGGTTCAGCGCTAATCAACTGAAATTTGTACCTTGTGTAAACTGTAGCATGTGTACCTCTCCCCCCTCCCACTTTGTACCTTCACCATGCCTTGCACGGTAGCCGTGCATATTGGTGCAGGTGTGCACAGCGTTTCGCGGCAGAATAAATACCGTGACTTGATCAGACGCGCTTGTAGGGCGGGGATCCGATGTGAGAAGGCCCTGGACGCGGTTGTGGCGTCAGGATCAGTGCTGGAAGACAGTCCTCTAACGAACGCTGGGCGAACATCTAATATGACAATTGACGGGACTTTTGAGTCAGATGCGGCTGTAATGACAGACATAGAAGGTGTAATGGCGTCAGTAGGCGCGGCATGCGACGTTGCGGAGCCGTTACGGCTGGCCCAGATCCTAGCGCAGTCGAAAAGCGCGAATGATCTGGTCGCGCCGCGTATGGTTGTCGGGATCGGGGCTAAAAGGCTCGCCCAAGCGCAAGGACTTCGGGTGCAGGATACGTCACAAAATACAGATACAGATAATGTTACAGATACAATTGGCGTGATAGCATTAGATGAGTCGGGATGCCTAGCGGTGGGAACCAGTTCCGGTGGGCCGCTGAACAAACTCACAGGCCGTGTAGGCGCGGGCGCGTTGCTTGGAGCAGGTCTGTGGATATGCAAGAACGAGATACACAAAACGGCGGTGTGTATGACTGGTGTCGGCGAAGACATTATTGCCAAAAATATGGCTCATACTATCGCCGAGAACGTGCTTGAATTCGAAGACGAGTCTGTATTTATACGGGACTATTTCGCGAAGGAAGTACTGGACCAGCCTTGCCAATTGGGCGTCCCCATGATAGGCGTTCTTACAGTGAAAGTACTGGAAAACGGCAAGATGAGTGTCACGTTTGGACATTGTACAAAGTCCATGGTGGTCGGGTACGGA